AGCTCCATTGGTCACGGCTTCTCACTAGAACTTCAGGAATTCCCTCACGAAGCTAGTCACTAGTGAGCACATGGTAATTATCAGTATGGGGTTGTGAAGATTATTTTAGACAGCCATATCATGTACTTATGGCACATCTTATTTTGATCAATAATAGAGTACTTTCAACATATTCCTATCTCTATTTCGACTTCATATCGAAGTACGTAGTGATTGACGATGAATAACACAAACCCCAGTCATATATATAAGGATCATCACAGTACATTTTATCATTATTGCTATGTAATCAGTATGAAAATCAAATACTTACATAATATTAACATACAAGTGCAAATTGAATGAAGTCGATTTATAATAAATGAATAAACTTGCTTTTAACTAACAGTCTATTGCACAGAAATCTCTGTTTAGGTGCATAATAAAAATGAATATTGATTTACAGTAGAAAGTTTAAAATTGAAATACATCATTTCCAGAATCCTTAATTTTCTGTGTTTTTTTTTACAACATACTACTATATACTCAAATATTTACTTGACTAAAGACTAGTAAATGACTTAATCACAATAAATCTTGTTAAATATTAGTGAAAATGTAATTAGAATTTTAAAGTATTTTCCTTTAATTTACTAGTTGAATTCATGAGTCAATTGAAGCTAGATCACCAAGGAAAAGCTGGAAGCACTGGACGACCGTCTCGTCCTAGTATGGGACTCCTAAGCAGTGCGCATCCACAATCTCGCCCCCCCCTGCGAGATTCGAACCCAGAACCTATTAGTCTCACGCGCAAGCGCCTAACCACTAGACTAATGAGACGGCAACCAACGGTGTTAACGTATAACTTCAACCAATTCACTCTAGACTTTAGTCTTGTATGCTAAATAAGTTAAACATAACTAAATTTTTATGTGGTCAGTTACTAAAAAACAAATAATTTTCTACTATCTAGCTATAATTAGCAAATAAATTTACCGGATATAACATATACTGTAAATATTTAGATGAGTGACTAAACCTCAAAATTAACTATGTCTGTCCCCCATCCTCTGAGAGTAATTTTTTCTAAATATCGTTTAATGAAACCTTACACTTGCTGGGATAAATTATAACATCATCTGACTTCAAGAACAATCGACAAATTGAAAATGTAATACTCTGTTCAGCGATCTATTTAACTGTCGTATTACAAATGAGGTTGAAAAACTCCTGTCACGAATGAAAAATAATAATGAATTTTTCAGTAATTGATCGAGATACTGTATTTAATGGTACATGACGACAATAATAGTTTGAATAACTATGTGTATATTAATTTCTTTTTATCTAATTTGTTACTTGTCATGTGATCTAATTAAGTAGCTTCCATGAATTAAAAAACTATTCTAGAACAGTCATAAAGTAACTTTATTTTTTGAGTTTAAATAAGTCGTACGCTGAATTTCTTGGCTAGAAAACCTGAAAACGTGTTGTTGAACGTATATAATCCATACGAAACCAGGTAGGAGAATAAGTAACGGATATCCATGATTAAGCTTATTTTTGTAAACTAGAAGAAATCAGTTCACAACAATTTATTTCAAAGACTGAAATCATAAGTCAATTGAAGCTAGACCACCATGGAAAACCTGGAAGCACTGGACGGACGTCTCGTGCTATTGTAATTTTAAGAATGAATCCCACAGGGGTGCGAGATCGTGGATGCGCACTACTGAGGAGTCCCATACTGGCACGAAACATCCGTGCAGTGCTTCCACGATTTTCATGGTAGTCTAGCTTCAGTTGACTAATGATCTCAATCTGCGAAATTTCTAAAATCTTCACAAACCCCTTCTGATAACAATTTATTTGAAAACTTATTCTAATCTCGACACTCATAAGCATCTCTAACACTCAATATTATTGAACACAAGGGTGATGTCGAAAATTGAATGCACTCGTACCAAGTTCAGATAAATGGTTATGTGGTAATCATTATGAGGCAAATTATATACTGTGAAGAAAATGTTTCATAAATCTCGTGGAGTAAATGCAAAACATATTGTACTGATGAATAGCATAAAAGTTTAAATGCACATTGTCAATTAAACTAACGCCTGTGTTCACATTAAACAACAACTCTATACATACAACTGTACACATAATGTCAACTTATTTATTCGACATTCTCAAAATACTCATGAGTAGTGATAAATGTAGAATTATAATTTATTTGTATTCACTGTATTCACAAATAATTGAAATTTCCTGGAATTACCCTGAAGAAGTCCAGACAAGTTAGCTACTGCTTGAAACGTTGGAATTGTTTAAATTTCAGTCATTGAGATCATTTCTAATATAATTTTCTCATTAAAATAGTAATAATAGTTCATTATTGATTGTTCATCAGCTTCAGAAAAGCCATGATTTTATGGAAGGTGTTAGGAGGTTAAACATAGAGGACAAAGATGTATTGAAAATGATTATTTAGATTAGTGAATGGAGCACAAGATTCTCTAGTTTACATTTAGAAAACAATCAAATTCAGTGTTTATCTAGTATGGTCAAGCAAAAACATACGAATAATATGCAGAGATGACCATCTATAAATATTGTTCGTATGAAGGGAATGTAGACGATACTTACGCTATCTGTGACAATAAATCCAATTTGAATGATAATTTACCCATTTTGAGCATCACAACCACCAATGAGATTTATTGTTGAAGAAGAAAAATGGTTGAAGTTTCCACTGTTTTAATTTTGAGATTGAGAGATGATCAGATGAGAAGTCACGAATACCTGTTTACAAGGAACCTATACCACATGAGACTTGAAGCTTCTAAATTCGTGCTTCGGTAAAGTCATAATTCAAAAACGAAGAATATTTGTGCGAACAATTGTTTTCAATAACTTCATCATCAGGCTCTACAGTTATAAGTCCATAATTATAAGATTTTACAAAGGCCAAAAATAATAAGGCATGTCTTAATGAGTTTGACAATGTTATGTGTTAAAAATAGTAGATAGTGAACATCATATCAAAATAGAAGAAGCTTTCTCTGTTTTACATCAAGTTCCAAAATATCTACCTCAAGGAGCTAGATTACGATTGCTTTACACAGCCGAAGCCATCTGGATCAACCCCAGAAGATCTAATTTATGCATCCAGAAAAAATATATCCAGCCTCTATGTTTACCCTGGCCTACGACTGGATCACCAAATACCTAGACTGAATATTATAAACCTCTTACCCCTTCCTTCCTTCATTTTTATTTATTTTTCCTTATTATCATTATTTGTCATTATCTATATCTTAATCTTCATATCCATCATTCCCAATTTGTCAACCGTAATTACCTTGATAACACCCCCCTTATTACATTATATATTCACACAACAATATTATTATTATCAGAAGTAGTTTGTGGAGATTTTAGAAATTTTCACAGATTTAAATCATGAGTCAGTTGAAGCTAGACCACCATTGAAAACCTGGAAGCACTGGACGGCCGTTTCGTCCTAGTATGGAACTCCTCAGCAGTGCGCATCCACGATCTCGCACCACGCGGGGCTCGAACCCAGGACCTACTGGCTTCGCTCGCGAGCACTTAACCATATTATTATTATTATTATTATTATTATTATTATTATTATTATTATTATTATTATCTCAGTTGACAAAATTATTTTCGATTTTGCAATAGTACTATTACAGTATCTTATTGTGACTGAACAGTTTACTGACCTTTATTGAATGACCTTTCTAATTTGCAAATATTACAATTTTTGAAGTATATATATATCGGAACAGATGCAAACGTTTACCATTTTTAACACATAACATTGTCAAACTCATTAAAACATGCCTTATTATTTTTGGCCTTTGTAAAATATTATAATTATGGACTTATAACTGTAGAGCCTGATGATGAAGTTATTGAAACACAATTGTTTTGCTCAAATATTCTTCATTTTTGAATATTCTATGGGGATTTTTAAAGTCATAATTGTTTATTTGTTCATACTGCCAAAACTTCCTGATTATCATTTGACTTTTAGCTACAGTTATTACGTGTAATCAACTTTCTTGAAACTGATCTAATCGTATCACAGCTAATCAAGTAAAAGAAAGGAACGATTATCAACATCTTAATACTTCATTAATCTACTCTCCGTAAAGAAACTCTACATAATTTCGATGAAAATGAATTCATTCTTTGAATACATAGTTTAACTCAGAATATATAATGTACGATATGACATAGTACCTTTTATGAAACGTATTTACTGTCTAAATAAGTCTGTATTGTAGGTTATTCACATTTAATTACAAGTAATATGTGTGATGCTCAAACAAATATGGGAATCTACCAATACGATAGTAATTTTAGTTCGCTCATTTAATCATTTATTTTGATCATTTTAAAATTACTTGTGGTTTAATTAACTCTTAACTTCTAATGTGGGGTACATCGTTGACTTGATTTAGAATAATACCCTAAATCATCATTCATTTAAGTTGCTTGTATGACTGGTAAGAGACTTTTCTGTAGAAAGCAGTCGCTTAATTTATAAATGCTTCAATTATTTTTCGCATCTTATTGATAATGAATATCTTATTAAGATTAAGGAAACTTCCTGAGTATGAAGTTTGATCTAGGAGATCAATACCAATATTTTAGCCTCATATAAAATGTTCGTCTTTTAATATCACAGTAAAATACTTTAACAAAACATGGTTGAATAATATGGTTTTAGGAACTAAATCAAAACTGAGCAGTTTAGCCTACAAACGGTACATCATAAAAAGTCACGATCGTTTTTGTAAACCTATACCAGCTATACTATAACACCTTTAGGAAATCTTAACGGTTTCCATAAACGTTATTACCACAAATCGAAAACTGAATCAAATACTTTGGTACTGTTGAGCACACTTCGTTTACTCTTGTAATATCACAAATACTTCATGCAATTTAACCAACAGTTTAGTGGTTATGTCAAGAACAAACAATACTTTTTAATGATAATAAATATATTTATTTTATTATTAATAATAATGATCCTGTTCCTTATTCACTAGTATGTTTTATTGTTTTAGTTTTCAGTAGGGTTGACCACCGTTTCCGTTCCCACCATAATTATCACCGCTTGGTTTGAAACTTGATTTATCCTTGAATGTTGATTGTCCATGCAATTTACCAACAACTTCAAATTTCGCTTTCACATGTTGATTACCATATTTTTTCACATGTCCTGTTGTATCATAATCTAAAAACTGTCGTTTTTTTCCATAGATATCATAGCCACCACCTTTACGGAATTTAGTCAATGATAAATAATGTACACCATAATCTTGATGTCCAACACCAGTCATTTTACCATGAATATTTAAATGAGTATGACTATGCTTAGAACCAGATATAACTCCAGTACCAATTGAACCAATACCATATTCACTGGTAGGTGATATATCACTGGATCCATAATCTTGATAATTATTTGCTTGGTAATTATTATTTGTTGGTGTATAATCGTTATTCTTATAATCGTTATTATTATTATTATTATTATTATTATTATTATTGTAATTATCCCCATTATAAGACGTTGGTTGATAATTGGAACTGTCATAATTATTCTTCTTTTGAATTTTAACATGATCATTACCATATTTATTACCATATTGATTATTTATAGTCGAATCATAATCATTACTTATATATTTTTTAGTATAGTCATCACCATTATATTTATTATTTTGATAAGATTGTTGATAATCAGGATTTATATAACTTGGTCCACGTTGATATCCATATCCACTATACACCATGGTCAAAAGATTACATAAGGTGAAATATAATAGTAATAATAATAATAATAATTTATTCATTATGATAATAATGATAATGCAATCTCTTTTTTAAATAACAAAAAAAAGAGAAAAAAAGAAAAAAAAAGAAAAACTAACAAATAAACATTTTCAGAAATGTTTTTATAGTTAATTGAATCAACGGAATAGAATTATTGGGGGTTTGTTTGAATTATTTATGATTAATAATAAGTTCATTATACTTTTTTCAGATAAATTCCGTTGGTATAATAATATTCATTCATTGTAAATTATTATTCGCTTTTTTTTGTTTGTTTATTTTTAATGACGTTTATACATGAATTGCACTCAGTTTTTTTTTGCGAATTAATTGACTGTTGTCAACTGAATGAATGATTGACAAGGAAGCAACAAAAATTGATTGTAGGTTGTTGTTGTTGTTGTTGTTGTTGTAATGATGTCAGTTATTTAAAAGTTACGTGATCTCCTTAAGATTAGTGAATGGAGATGAATATGAATAACGATCATTTAATGTGACCACTGATAAATAGATATAGATAGATAAATAGATAGATAGATGGATAGATAGATGGATAGATGGATAGATGGATAGATGGATAGATAGATAGATAGATAGATAGATAGATAGATAGATAGATAGATAGATAAATAGATAGATAGATACGTTTGGGAAATAAACTATATTTGATAAGAATATAAAAATAAAAGTAAACCTTGTTGGGTTAACAGAACTTCAAAAGAAAAGAGACAAAAGGTATATAATCCATAAATTTTCTATGAAATTAATAAAAGATGAATTAAATTAACTTATTATTTGATAAATAGAGATTAAAAGTTCAAATCGATTATAAGATAAGAAGATTAGACAAACTCTTCTCATATACATAGTTCTTGTATTTTTATGTATATAACGACGAATCCAGCATGATGTAGGAGATGGTAGAATACTGAATATTCATAACTCAACACAAGTGACTTTGGAATTCAGGTACACATTAATGCTGAGTGCTAAATAACGATAATCCAAGATTCATTATTTCCTTTCGACTACTTTCAACCTCCTAATAAGTACATATTGAAGGGTTCGAACGCTTCGTTTTGCCCTTTTACTTGGTAAATAAAGGCTGACAGGCAAATACTACTCTCAGCTTTGTAGTAAAGAGCATACTATTGAGAGAATCTGAGATCCTATTTCAGGATATCAGTAAATCAATTGCTTTTAAAGTCAACACTAATACTTTGGTGCAGAGATAACAGATTTCCCTAGAGATATAAGATTCATATATTCACAGATAAATCTTGGTGGAAACTTATTTTCGGCCGCCTTCTCATATGGGTCAAGTCCTGACCCATAAATTTGGGAGTACAAATTCATTTAATCAATATAGGGAGAGATATAATGAAATTTCTCTTCCTACCGATAGGGACCTAAGTATAAAAAATTAATAACTAACTATTCCTTATTGGTTCCTCGTAAACAGGTATTCGTGACTTCCCATCTGATCATCTCTCAATCTCAAAATTAAAACAGTGGAAACTTCAACTATTTTTCTTCTTCAAGAATAAATCTCATTGGTGTTTGTGATGCTCAAAATGGGTAAATTATCATTCAAATTGGATTTATTGTCACAGATAAAGTAAGTATCGTCTACATTCCCTTCATACGAACAATATTTATAGATGGTCATCTCTGCATATTATTCGTATGTTTTTGCTTGACCATACTAGATAAACACTGAATTTGATTGTTTTCTAAATGTAAACTAGAGAATCTTGTGCTTTATTCACTAATCTAAATAATCATTTTCAATACATCTTTGTCCTCTATGTTTAACCTCCTAACACCTCTCATAAAATCATGACTTTTCTGAAGCTAATGAACTATTATTACTATTTTAATGAGAAAATTATATTAGAAATAATCTCAGTGATTGAAATTTAAACAATTCCAACATTTCGTGCAGCTAACTTGTCTGGACTTCTTCAGGGTAATTCCAGAAAATTTCAATTACTTGTGAATACAGTGAATACAAATAAATTATAATTCTACATTTATCACTACTCATGAGTATTTTGAGAATGTCGAATAAATAAGTTGACATTATGTGTACAGTTGCATGTATAGAGTTGTTGTCTAGTATGAACACAGGCGTTAGTTTAATTGACAATGTACATTTAAAGTTTTATGCTATTCATCAGTAGAATATGTTTTTGCATTTACTCGACGAGATTTATGAAACATTTTCTTCACAGTATATAATTTGTGTCATGATGATTAACACATAACCATTTATCTGAACTTGGTACGAGTGCATTCAATTTTCGACATCACCCTTATATTCAATAATATTGAGAGTTAGAGATGTCCATGAGTGTCAAGATTAGAATAAGTTTTCAAATGAATTGTTGTCAACTAATTTCTTCTAGTTTAGAAAAATAGGCTTAATCGTTGATATCTATTATTTCAAGTCCTCATACTTCAAGTAAGTTTAAATTTCATTCTCACGATACTCAACAGTGTTGATGATGGAAATGAAAATACTGCAGTGCTTATTTATGGTCATATTTGTGCCAACAAGTAAAGCAAGGATAAACCCATCATTTACTATAACCATTGACAGTAGTCAAATGTTCATCATAGGTTGTGTTTTTCATATACAAAAGCAGAATTATATAGATTTATGATTCGAAATACATTTCACGTTAATACTTTATATGTTGTCGTAGTTAGTTTATACAGATATTTATCACTCATTTATACTTCCTGAAACTTGTATCCCGCAACCAATCAGTGAATTTTCTCAAGCTGAATATGTTTTTTTCCGTCTTGAATTCAACGATGTTTGTGTTGACTAACTATAATTTTAATCCCAACTCTTACTACCATAACAATACCGTGGATGTTATGTAGGATAGTCTTAAACATTAGTAACGGTCCTATGAAGTATCTGGATAGAGAATGCTCTAGAGCACTGCAATTATTTTCGCGAAAGAATTTACATTATTTTCAGCTTAGACGATCATTCATTTATCTTAATAAAAAAAACGTATGTTTCGATAATGAAGCATAAGCTCTCACAATTATTAAAAGTATGATATCCTGATGTTTAGCAAACAATTAAAATTTCCCGATTAAACTATACAACCCAACAAAAGCAATACCTTTAAAATTCTTTTGCTAAACTACAAATATTTGCTATCATTTCAAAAGTATAACTATTTGCCATATATTAGCAATATTCTATTATAAGTAAAGATTTAGTATACTTGTCACAGATTTAAATCATGAGTCAGTTGAAGCTAGACCACCATTGAAAACCTGGAAGCACTGGACGGCCGTTTCGTCCTGGTTAAGTGCTCGCGCGCGAAGCCAGTAGGTCCTGGGTTCGAGCCCCGCGTGGTGCGGGATCGTGGATGCGCACTGCTGAGGAGTCCCATACTAGGACGAAACGGCCGTCCGGTGCTTCCAGGTTTTCAATGGTGGTCTAGCTTCAACTGATTCATGATTTAAATCTGTGACAATTTCTAAAATCTCCACAAACCCCTTCTGATTTAGTATACTTGTTAAGACATTTCCATGTGGAAATTAAAAGGTCAACTAGACAGGTTAAAGGTAAGCCGTAACAAAGAAAAAAAACAATCATAAAATATCACTGGTTGAAATCATGAGTCAATTGAAGCTAGACCACCATGGAAAACCTGGAAACACTGGACGACCGTTTCGTCCTGATATGGGACTCCTCAGCAATACACAGAAATAATGTGATAAACACTCTGGATAATAAATCAGTATTACCAGGGTAGGTTAAGGTTAAGTACAAATTGTTTTTGAACGCATAAAGGAGGTTTCAGTTTCCGTGTAGACAAGGCTTCAATAAACCTTAGTATACGTCCTTCAGGACTTTTGTACAACACTGCAAATGCTGACTTGATGTCAACCTTATGACTAGTCTCAATCAAATGTTTCGCAATGAAGAATGATGTCTGTCTATCCTGTGATCTTATTTGACCATTGGAAGTATATTTCTGATCAGATTGTTCGAAATGTATTGCGCAAATATATCACATAATTCTGATAAACTTCATCTTCTCATTGCATTATCGAAATTCATCAAACGGACTAATTGTTTCAAAGATTTAGTAATTATTTATTAATTTAAAAGTAAACAGAAATTATTTATATTGATGAGTCCTGTTGAATGATAGTGTTTTAATGACTAAGTTTGTTATGTGATTAATAAAATGATCGACTTTATATTGTCTAAATTAAAATGATTGGTTGCAGGTACAAAGAAGCAAGCAAGAGAGTGAATAGGAGAATTAGAGTCGACAAAAAGAAATGCTTTGAAGACCTAGCAACGACAACAGAAAAAGCTGCAAGAGAAAATATGAAATAACTATATGATATAATGAACAAACTAGAAGCGAAATATAGTAAACCAGAGACCGGTAAAGGACAAAGAAGGCAAGATAATAACGGAGATTCAGGAGCAGAGGGACAGATGGGTAGAATACTTCGAGGAAATTTTGAATAGACTAGCTCCACTGAATCCACCGGACATCGAAGCAGCACAAGCACACATTCCTATAAATGTCACTCTATCAACGATCGAAGAAATCAGGATGGCCATCAGACAAATCAAGAGTGGGGAAACAGCAAGATCTGATAATATACCAGCTGAAGATCTGAAGTTAAACACAGGAGCAACTGAAAACATGATTCACGTTCTTTTCAGGAGGATTTGAGAGGAAGAACAAGTGCCACAGATAGAGTGGAAAGAAGAACACCTCATCAAGATGCCAAAGAAAGGAGATCTGAGTAAATGTGAGAACTACACTGTCAGTACCAGGAAAGGTTTTCAACAGAGTGTTTCTGAATCGGATGAGGGACTCACTATATGCCCAACCTCGAGATTAACAGATCGGACTTCGTAAGGACCGGTCGTGCACAGACGAAATCTTGACGCTATGGATCATCGTTGAACAGTCAGTTGAATAGAGTTTGTCACTGTATTTCGACTTTCTTGATTATGAGAAAGCGTTTGACATTGTGGATAAGAGGACCTTATGGGAGCTTCTTAGACATCATGGAGTAAGTAGCTGAGAAAGCCTTTAACATCATTCGGAATCCATATGACGTACTACACTGCAAAGTGGTGCATGTATAACAGCCGAGAGATACATTCCTAGTGAGGACCGGAGTCAGACAAGGCTGTTTCCTATCCCCCTTCCTCTTTCTTCTGGTGGTCGACTGGATTATGA